CACGTTATATCCTTTTTTGTTTTAGCTGTTTTATTAATAATTTTTAAAAAAAAAAAAAAGAAGAAAAAAAGAAAAAGGGAGGTGCTAATTGTTAATGCTGTGTTTGGCACCTTCTCTGAAAAAAACCACTGGGCAGGGTGTGATGTGAGCTGCCATTCCTCCCTTCCCTCTTTCTCTTGCACTTCAATGGTTGCTCAAATCGCTGTTATAGGAGAAGCAAAGTCTGACAAAGCTGAAGGTGACTACAATCATAGAATACATGAGTAGGAAGGACCTTATAATAAGGCCGTGCAATGCTTCAAGGGTCTTTTGAATAGCCCAGGAGAACCCCTCTGTCGTTTTTCAAATGCTGCTTCTTCCAAAATGGAACCGTTGGCACAGCCAGGGTAGGATTCCACTAAAGCAGTGTTTCTCCACCTTAGCCTCTTGAAAATGGGTGGGGCTTCAACTCCCGGAATTCAGCCAGCCAGCAAGGCACTCTGGGAGTTGAAGTCCACCCGTGGCTGAGATGGAGAAAGAGGGATGTATAATCTAGCACAGTGTTTCTCAGCCTTGGCATCTCGAAGAAAGGTGTCAACGCTGCTAACATCGGATGTTTTTGCATTGACAACAGATGGAGAGGCAGCCATTTTCTTCTTTTTGCTGTTAGAGTTAGATATGCTGGGAGGGGAGGGGAATGTGCATGAGAGTCTAGCTAGACATAACAACACTGGACCTAGCGTGAGAATCAAGGTTATTGAGCCCAGAGCTGATAAAGAATTGGCGGGCTGGAGAACTGGAGAGGAAGCCTGCGTTTCAAGCTAATTGGAGAATGTGATTTATGATTGTCAATTGGAGGAGGGAATTGTGCTTTGATACTATGGGCTCAGGGGAGGGGAACTCAGTTTTTGGCTTCGACTGTGTTAGTGCCGATGCTATGCTATTCAAATAAAGATTCTTTAAGGTAAACAATGCCTCAAAGTTCTTTGAAGAGTTTCATCTGTCAGAACCATGACAAAGGGTGGACTTCAACTCCCAGAATTCCCCCCCCCCAGCTAGGCTGGCGAGGGAATTCTGGGAGTTGAAGTCCATCCATCTCCAAGCTGCCAAGGTTGAGAAACATTGCAGTAAAGCATTCCTGAACCAACATCTACCTAAGCCCTGTTGGAAAATCTCCAGCAAGGAACAGCTCACCATTATTCTCGGAAGACCGTTTCGCTGTTTAACAATGGTTTCATCTTAAATTTCTTCGGAACAGATGATTCACAGTAGTAAAGAATGGGCCAATATTTTGCTTTGAGGTTTGTGGTTTTTTTTTTTTTTAACTAGCTTAATAAAAAGATAAGGATATTTATCATCTTCCTTCTACTAATATTATGGTTTCTTACTAAGGAATGAATGGATGGTGTAACAGGGAAACTCTCATAAGGGACTGATTCCTCCCCCCCCCCCCGCGCATACTGACCTCTTTTTTTGTGGGGGAGGAAATTTCTCCAGTTTTCCAGAAAAGTTAGATTTCCGTCTGGAAGAGAAAGGCACACTTTGTCTCATATTTTCATATTTAAACCTCGCCCTTCCAAGAGAGGATGCTCTGGTTTTAACCCATTCGTGACTATAAGTCTGTTATTTCAGCAAATTAAAAAAAAAAACATCAAAAGTAGTCCTTGACTTACAACAGTTTGTTTAGTGACCATTTGAAGTTACAGCATCAGTGAAAGAAGTGGGTTATGACCATTTTTCACATTGGCAACCATTACAGCATCCCCATGATCAACATTCAGATGCTTGCCAACTGACTCATATTTATGACAGTTGCAAATGTCCCAAGGTCATGTGATCCCCTTTTACAACCTTCTGACAAGCAGTCAGTGGGGAAGTCCGATTCACTTAACAACCGTGTTACTAATTTAACAAGTGCAGTGATTCACTTAACAATGGTGACAAGAAAAGTCGTAAAATGGGGCAAAACTCACTTAACAAATGTCTCGCTTAACAACAGAAATTTTGGGCTCAGTTGTGTTCATAAATCGAGGGCTACCTGTATTTTATCTCTCAAAGCCATATTCTACATAAATCTAAATGCATAGTTTAGGAAGCACTGCAGAGAGAGGCATTGTTAGCCTCACAGCTTGATGGAAAATATCACCCAAGAAGTATTTCTTGTTTTAAATCGGGAGTAAGATTCACATCTGAATACAGGCGATTCTTAAAGCGAATATAAAATAAAAACCAGAGGCTTGTCTTTTAGGCTTAAGGGACAAAGAACTTGAAAAAAACAAATATGAACTTTGCTGTTATATGTGCTGAGAGCAGCAAGAAGGCTCTATGTATGAAAATGGAAAGATATTGTCATGGTTCCGACAAATGAAACTCCTCAAAGAACTTCGAGGCATTGTTTACCTTAAAGAATCTATTAGAGAAGCATAGCGTCGGCATTAACATAATCGAAGCACATAGTATCACAGCACAATTCCCCCCTCCAATTAACAGCCAATAATAATAATAATAATAATAATAATAATAATAATAATAATAATAGACAAAATGCCAAATCCAGTCTGAACATCAGGCTGACTGTGCAATGATCAGTAATAATAATAGTAGTAATAATAGTAATAATAATAATAATAATGCATATAAAGTCAAAATTGAGAAGACAGCAACAGACAGTAAGTGCCGCCTGTGCAAAGAAGCTGAAGAAACAGTGGACCACCTGGTAAGCTGCTGCAAGAAGATTGCACAGACTGACTACAAGCAGCGGCATGACAAAGTAGCAACAATGGTGCATTGGAAGATCTGCAAAAAATATCATTTGCCTGTAAGCAAAAACTGGTGGGATCATCCGTTGCTTCTCGTCCTCCCTTCAGGCACTTTGGAGAATAGCTTGACTACCTCTTCTTTGGGGCAGCCCCTCAAATATTGGAAGACTGCTATCATGTCCCCCCTTCGTCCTTCTCTTCATTAAACTAGACATGCCCAATTCCAGCAACCGTTCCTTATATGCTTTAGCCTCCAGTCCCCTAATCACATTTCCCAATTAGTTTGAAATGCAGGCTTCCCCTCCAGTTCTCCAGGCCGGGCCAATTCTTATCATCTCATATTTCAATAACCTTGGTTCACACACCAGGTCCAGTATTGTTATGTCTAGCTAAACTCCTATGCACATTCCTCCCCCCAGCATCATCTAACTCTAACAGTAAAACATAAGAAGAAAATGGTTGTATCTCCAACTGTTGTCAAAGCAAAAACATCCAATGTTAGCAGCGTTGACAGATATTTTAATTCCTATAATGGATGACTGGCTGGAAAAACTGATGGAGTTGGCAGAGATGGCGAAATTGCCTGCCCTAATGAAAGAAAAGAATAAAACCGACTTTGTTTCCACTTGGAAATTGCTTCTGGCTTGAGGTGGAAAAAACAAAAGGAAACTTTGACTGTGAATTCTGCTGATTTAGATAGGCTGCTGTTGTAGAAACGGCTAGTATATACTACAGGTAGTCCTCGACTTACAACTGTTCATTTAGTGGCCGTTCAAAGTTACATCACTGAAAAAAGTGACATGACCATTTTTCACATTTACAGCTGTTGCGGCATTCCCGTGGTCACGTGATCAAAATTCAAACGCTCGGCAACTGACTCCTATTTCTGATGTTTCAGGCCCTGGGGGTCATGTGACCCCCTTTTGTGACCTTCTGAAAAACAAAGTCAATGGGGAAACCAGATTCGCTTAACAACCGTGTTACTAATTTAATAAGTGCAGTGATTCACTTAACGGTGGCAAAAAAAAGTCAAAAAAATGGGGCAAAACCCATTTAACAAGAGTCTCACTTAGTATCAGAAATTTTGGGCTCGGTTGTGGTCGTATGTTGAGGACTACCTGTATTATGTAAAGGTTGAGGCTGTATTTCTTGTTTTGTTTTGTTTTGTTTTAATCCTTTTTATTATATTTTTAATACATGGTCTGTCTTTACTTAGCAAGATTTCCAGTTGACCACATATTACAGTAAATCCATATATAAAAATGCAAGAATGTTAGTCTTTTTTTTTTTCCTTTTTAAGCGCTTTTTTAATTTCTTCTTTGTAGGACGTCTTTTTTTTCTTTTTCTTTTAAAAAATATTTGGCGTTTTATATATATTTATATATTTTTATAAAGATTTTATTGATTTTCTTTTACATACATATGTTAATTTTTCAACCAACGAGCTGTCTGGGGTCAGCTAGCTACAGTAGTGGCCAAAATTGTGGAAACCTTTTGGAAAAGTGTATTTTTGAGGTTTGATGACTAATAATACCACTTTTTTGGGGAGTAGTACCATAAAATTATATATCAATGGAAATATAATTTAATCAAGAACATATTGCAACAAAGTTGGTTCAGTTATCTGTACTGTATTCTATGAAAAGTTATAGCCAAATAACCAGAAAAAGGAAGCACAACTTGCTCAGGTTGATATCAGGTAGCTTTCCTTCATCTGATTGTAGCCAATGAGCGTGAGTGTTTAGAGAGCCAATCGGGTGTCATCTTGTTTTGGCAACGAACCAATCAGATCACTGCAGGATTCAGTTACTGATGTCCTGTGTTGAAGCTGAGAGGAGGACATGTGTCAGTGTGTTATGTGATAGCTATCAAGTTGGTTGGGTTTTTTGGTGTTCTTTCATTTAGTGAGCTTGTAAAATGTAATAAAATTAAAGTACCGTATTTTCCGGTGTATAAGACGACTGGGCGTATAAGACGACCCCTGACTTTTGAGAAGATTTTCATGGTTTAGATAAGGCAAGTAAAATTTCTTGGTATTTTCTTTCAGAACGTTTCATTTCTCATCCAAGAAACTCCTTCAGTTCTTGGATGAGAAGCAAAAACGCTTTCAAAGAAAACACGAAGAAAATCCAGTTGCCTTTAGGGGGGGGGAAAAAACAGCCATGGCCTGGCTGATAAAGAATCTCCACAGACATTTGTTCTCTTTTTTTCCTTGGAAATCATTGGCCCGAATCCTGACCTGCTTGATTGTTTCTTCGATAGGATTCGCCCCTTTCGTCCGCCCGCATCACAAGGAGCAGTTCCTACAGATGTGCAGAGAACTGACTGACATGGCTTCCCCAGAGGAGAACAATGAGACATGTTGCTGTGGTAAGCCCTTTTACGCTGCACTGTGGAAGACACTGAAATTCAGGATAAAGCTTTCCAACAACGCCCTGACAATTTCAGCGCTTATTTTACTGGCACTTCCACACTCCTCTTTAAAATATTGCATCGTAATTTGAAAATATATTTTTTAAAAAAAACCAGAATACTCGGAGATGAGTTTTACTTCCTGGGAAGCTTTCGAACAAACATACTTCGGTGTCATTGTTAATGCACATTTTTCTTTCATAAAGCTGGATTTGTAGAACACGACACTATAAAACCTTGGAACGCCCCACGGATTTCAGAATGATGAGTCAAATTCCTACTGCAAATTAGCAAAGTGGGCTAAAAAAAGCCCAGAGCCTCTATATAAGGAAACATCACACTGCTGCACACAGATAATCTTCGTCTTACAACCATTCGTTGAGTGACTGCTCCAAGTTATAACGCAGTGTTTCTCAACCTTGACAATTTTAAGGCATGTGGACTTCAACTCCCAGAATTCCACAGCCAGCAATGCTGGCTGTGGAATTCTGGGAGTTGAAGTCCACATGCCTTAAAATTGTCAAGGTTGAGAAACACTTCATATAACGGCTCTGAAAAAGTGACTTACGACGGTTTTTCAGACTTAAACGTCCGTTGCAGCATCCCCATGGTCACATGATCAGAATTCAGATGCTTGGCCACTGGCTCATACTTACGACGGTCGCAGTGTCCCGGGGTCATGTGATCCCCTTTTGCGACCTTCTGACAAGCAACATCGATGGGGAAGCCAGATTCACTTCCCAACCATGTTGCTCACTTAACAATTACAGTGATTTGCTTAACAACTGTGGCAAGAAAAGTTGTAAAGTGGGACAAATCTCGCCAACTGTCTCACTTGGCAACACAAATGTTGGGCTCAGTTCTGGTTGTAAGTTGAGGATTACCTGTGCTTTATAGCTTAGTAGAGATGCCTAGAAATTAGGCATGCGATGTAGAGTTTGGGCTGAGAGAGGACCAATGACAACACAAAGTCCCTTTTAGTTAGCCCCAACTGAGAAAGGAATGGGATGACAAAAGAATATCATGATGCTCTCATTATTTTATTTTATTTTATTGTATCATTTTATTTATCAAATTTCTACACTGCCCATCTCACTTGCATGAGTCCATAAAACCATAAAGGAGCTCCTGTGGCACAATGGTTAGACCGTAGAATCAGTTCGATCCTGACCGGCTCAAGGTTGACTCAGCCTTCCATCCTTCCAAGGTCGGTAAAATGAGGACCCAGATTGTTGGGGGCAAGAGGCTGACTCTGTAAACCGCTTAGAGAGGGCTGTAAAGCACTGTGAAGCAGTATATAGGTCTAAGTGCTATTGCTATTAAGAAATTGACACTTCCATCTGATAGTTCTTTCATATCTTTATAGATCAGAAGTGGCTAACTCAGACATGTCAAACACAAGGCCCAGGGGCCGGATACGGCCCGCAAAGTGGTTTCATGTGGCCCGCAAAGCCATCCTGGAAACAGTGAGGGAACGGCCCCCGGCTGCCTTGGCCCTGGCCCAGGCCAGCCGGGAGCCAATGTACAATTTTGTGGTGGCCATCTATGCTGAAACGCATTCAGTCTTAGCTCCACAAGGCCATCTGGAAACAGCGAGGAACCAGCCCCTGCTGTGTTGACTCCGTCCCCTGGGTGCATGCTGGGGAGGTGTCACCCTTTGTGAGGAATGAAGAAATGGACCATGCCTTGACGCTTGCCTCGGTCCCACCCCCTTCTGCCAGAGACCCTCAGATCTGTCTCACTCCTGCTCAGGCCTCCACAGGCACCCTTGACGCAAACGATGTAGAGCTGGCCACGTCCACCCAATAGGCCACACTCACTCCATCCACGCCCACCCAGTAGGCTGCACCCCCCCAACCCCCCCCCCCAGGGTAACCGCAATGCTGATGCGGCTCTCAATGAAATTGAGTTTGACATCCCTGGGCTAACTGAATCATGTCAATTGGAATTCTGCAAGACTGTTAAACCTTGATTTATTTCACCTATAAGATTTCTGTAATTCTGCTTTTTTTTTTAAAAAAAAAGTAATAATTAAAGCAAATTGTCTTGGAGAGGTTGTACAGGTATTTCGTGAGTGTGTGGTGAGTGCTGCATAGCCAGCCCTTTCTGAATGGAGTCCTCTATGTTCTTGGCAGTGTGATTGTGTACTATTTTCTGGCAGATTGTTGCATGGATGAAGAACCAGAGCAGTTCCAAAATCCAGACCCACAGGAAGTCGAGAGAAGGCTCAGCAGATTACGAAAATCCATCGATGATGACAGCCTACCTCTCTCTCCAATAGGTGGTGGGTATCTTTTGATTAAGTAGTCCCCTTCTTTCTAAATCCATTTTTTCAACCTTTAAGAGGTGCGGGCTTCAAATCCCAGAATCCCCCCGTCAGCATGGCTGGCTGGGAGATTCTGGGAGTTGAAGTCCACGTATCATAGAGTTATTAAGGTTGAGAAACGCTGTTCTAAAGAAAGCTTATCACAGTGGTTCTCAACCTGTGGGTCGGGACCCCATTTGGGGTCGAACGACCATTTCACGGGGGTCTCCAAACAACACAGTCCGCCATTTTTTCCCCCTTTTCCTTAGCTGTGCTACTCCCTTTTATTCTATTGGCTTTTGAAAGCCAATAGAATAGACTCTCTTGAATAGAGTCTAATTCTATTGGCTTTCAAAAGCCAATAGGAATTGTCCAGGCTGTCTCTGCCCTGCTGAGCCCGCCAAAAGTCCCATTCTGCAAATGGTGCTGCACCAGTGGAGTAGTCCTCGACTTACGACCGGTTGAGTAGTCTTCGACTTACAACCGGTTGGGGGTCGCGGCATTAAAAAGGTTGAGAACCACTGGCTTATCAGCTACTGGTCGTCCTCGACTTACAACCATTTAGTGACCATTTAAAGTGACTTCATGACCATTTTTTACACTTAGGACCATTGCAGTATCCCCGTGGTCATGTGATCAAAATTCCGTCGCTTGGCAACTGGCTTGTGTTTATGACAGTTGCAGTGCAGTCCATGGGAAACCAGATTCAGTTAACAACTGTGTTACTAACTTAACAGCTGCAGTGATTTGCTTAACAACTATGGCAATGAAGGTCGTAAGACGGGGCAAAGTTCACACAAGAACTCTCTCACTTAGCAGTGGAAATTTTGGGCTCAGTTTTGGTTGTAAGTCAAGGACTTCCTGTACACGGGAACTACAGATGGACGGTGGCAGATTATACATTGCAATGCAGATTAAAGTCTCCATTGGGTCACGAAGAAGAAATGAAATGAATGCCTAAGGCAGGGGTTCTCAACCTTGGCCACTTTAAGACTTGTGGACTTCAACTCCCAGAATTCCTCAGCCAGCTTTGCTGACTGAGGAATTCTGGGAGTTGAAGTCCACAAGTCTTAAAAGTGGCCAAGGTTGAGAACCCCGGGACACAAAAGCAGTTATGACTGTTATTAGATTTTTATCCTGTGTTCAGAAAGCAACTGGCCCAGGATCACCCAGCCAATTCTTTTCCCTAACTGGTATAACTGGTGTAGTTAACTTTCCCATCTCCACCAGTCCCTTCATTTTTTTTTTTTTTTCCCGTCCATTCTTCCATTGTGGGGAGTTAATGCTTCTCTCCCATTTTGAGCATTAGAAGATTCTCGCTGTAATGCCTCACCCACTTCCTTTGGCCGAATTACAAAAATGTAACTTCCCTTTGATTCTGGTGGTTGGATGGAGATGGGTAGGTAGCGTTTACCTGTTGCCATCTTTTTTTTTTTTTTTGCGCTAGAGATCGTCCCATATGTTGGCCCTCTGGTCAAGACCCAAGATCAACATGAACCTCTGTTTGATTCTGCAACCTGAAAACAATTATCTTTAGGCAAGGGAAGCAGGAGGGGTCCTTGGGGCTCTCTGAGGTTGCTTGTTTTCTTGCAGGCGTTCCATTACCCAAACTGGGTGACCTCATCAGGGCTAGAAGGGAGTGGGGAGGAGGAGGAGGAGGAGGAGGATATGGGGTCCTTGCTCTCTCTGAGCTTGGCTGTTTTCTTGTAGACGTTTCATGACCCAACTAGGTAACAACATCAGTGCTAGAAAGAATTAGGGAGGAGGAGGAGGAGGAGGATATGGGGTCCTTGCTCTCTCTGAGCTTGGCTGTTTTCTTGTAGACGTTTCATGACCCAACTAGGTAACAACATCAGTGCTAGAAAGAAATAGGGAGGAGGAGGAGGAGGATATGGGGTCCTTGCTCTCTCTGAGCTTGGCTGTTTTCTTGTAGACGTTTCATGACCCAACTAGGTAACAACATCAGTGCTAGAAGGAAATGAGGAGGAGGAGGAGGAGAGGAGGATATGGGGTCCTTGCTCTCTCTGAGCTTGGCTGTTTTCTTGTAGACATTTCATGACCCAACTAGGTAACAACATCAGTGCTAGAAGGAAATGAGGAGGAGGAGGAGAGGAGGATATGGGGTCCTTGCTCTCTCTGAGCTTGGCTGTTTTCTTGCAGACATTTCACGACCCAACTAGTTAACGTCATCAGTTTTGATAAGGAGTGGGGTTTGCTCCCAGTTTATATTCTAGCGTCTTGCCCTGTCAGTTTTAGTGGGGATGGTCTTCGAAGTTGGGCTGTTTCCTGTTGGCCCTGGCTGAGGAATTCTGGGAGTTGAAGTCCACAAGTCAAAAAAGGGCCAGGTTTGAAGACCCCTGCTGTAACACAAGAAGCCAAATGCACAAGTCGCGCAGGGCCCTGCTAAGATAAGCCTTGGTGCTGTCTGAGCTGGGGTTGTTTTCTAGCAGACGTTTCATTACCCAAACGAGGTAACATCATCAACACTGGCACTTAGGATGTGTTACCTCGTTTGGATAATGAAACGTCTGCAAGAAAACAACCCCAGCTCAGAGAACATCAAAGAGGCCACATTCCAACCCTGAGCCACAGATATTCTCCTTCATTGGCAAAGTGTTTCAAGTGCTTGAGCAGCAGAAAGAATCTGCAAGGTCAAAGGATTGGTCTAGTAATAGTAATAGTAGTAAAGTTGGAAGGGACCTTGGAGGTCATCCAGTCCAACCGCCTGCTCAGGCAGGAAACCCTACACCATTTCGGACAAATGGCTGTCCAGTCTCTTCTTAAAAACTTCCAGTGTTGGAGCATTTACTGCTTCTGGAGGCAGGTTGTTCCACTGGTTAATTGTCCTCAGTGTCAGGAAGTTTCTCCTTAGTTCTAGGTTGCTTCTCTCCTTGATTAGTTTCCATCCGTTGCTTCTTGTCCTGCCTTCAAGCCCTTTGGAGAATAGTTTGACTCCCTCTTCTTTGGGGCAGCCCCTGAGAGATTGGAACACTGCTATCATGTCCCCCCTCGTCCTTCTCTTCGTTAAACTAGACATACCCAATTCTAGCAACCATTCCTTATATGTTTTAGCCTCCAGTCCCCTAATCATCTTTGTTGCTCTTCTCTGTACTCTTTCTAGAGTCTCAACATCTTTTTTACATCGTGGTGACCAAAACTGGATGCAGTATTCCAAGTGTGGCCTTACCAAGGCATAGTAGTTTGAAAGCCACTTCATTCTTCTTCCTTTTCCCTGTTTAGGTGGCTACAAGTGTGCTAAATGCAGTTCTGAGCATGATGTGCCCTTAAAATGCCAGCAGTGTTCCTTCACGTGTTGCAACAAATGTTGGGAGAATTCCTTAAAGGTCAGCTTTCATTTTCATTTCCCTCCCCCCTTTGGTTTCAATTGCATCGGCTGATTTATTTTTGTATATGTATTTATTGGTACCCTGCCTTTTATGATTTTTACAAATGCCTCAGGGTGGCCAACGTACCCAACCCACTTTCCTCCTCCTGTTTTCCCCCACAACATCAACCTTGTGAGTTGGGTTGGGCTGAGAGAGAGGGTAACCAGTCCAAAGTCACCCAGTCAGCTTTGGTACCTAAGACAGAACTAGAACTCCCAGGCTCTTAGTGATTGGCCCAAAGTCACCCAGCTGCTTTCATGCCTAAGGCAGGACTAGAACTCACCGTCTCCCACTTTCTAGTCTGGTGCCCAAACCACTAGATCAGTGGTGGCGAACCTATGGCACGTGTGGGCACACGCGCCATGCCCGAAGATGTGTGGGCACACGCGCCATGCCTCTCTGTGGGCACACGCACCATGCCCGAAGATGGCAACCGTCCCTCTTTAACTAGCCGCCCGCTAACTCGCTGAGGTTCCACGTGGCCGGATGCATCCCAGCACGGCTGGTTTCCCTCCCCCCCCCCATCCCATCCCTCCTGGCCTCACATGCTCTCCTTTTCCCAGGCACAACCCACTGCATCGCCTCCTCAGCTGTCAGCCAGCCGTCCAGCTCAGAAGCAGCTTCTCTGAACTCCTGGCGGTGGGCTGTGGAGCCCCAAACTGCACCGGTTGAGGGGCCGGCAGTCTGTGGCTGCTGACGAACACTGTCGGCCCCCATGCACTCACTGGCCTCTGTGTGCGGGCGCCGATGGTGTCCTGGCCCCTGGCTTGCCTTGCCCTGCAACAATGGCACCCCTGCCCTACCTCTACTCGCCTCACCCCACAGAATGAGCCTCCTGCCCACCGCCCACCTGCAAGAGATCCCCTGGATCTCCCCCAACCCTGCCCGGTCCCCACAGGCATCCCTCCCCATGAGCAACATCAAGGTGACCACGCTCACCTTGGCCACACCCACCCAGTGGGCCACACCCACCTGGCACCGGCGATAAATAAGTGGGTTTTGGGTTGCAGTTTGGGCACTCGGTCTCTCAAAGGTTCGCCATCGCTGCCCTAGATTCTCCAGCTTGCCTGGCTCTTAAAGCAGAGCAGAATTCTCTTGCCGTGTTTCTGCAGTTCATTCTTACAAGTACATTTTCTCCCCTTGTATGTGACTTGAGCATCTTCTTGCAGTTGAGGTCACATGCCACTGACAAGATGCTTTTTTCTTGTGATCCATGACAAGTTAGGTTTGGTTAAAGGTCACCATGTGGCCCAATCCATCCACCCAAACAAACCTAAAGAACTGTATGAGCTTTCCTTAGCTACTTAGTCTGATTAATAGTCAATTTAAGCCACGTTAGTTGGGGATTATAAGAGTTGAGGTCAACAATTAGACTCTAGACTGGGAATGACTAATAGACGTCTAATTTAAGATGAAGAGACACAGTCAGCACTCTGTCAGAGAAGTTATTGTCTATTTCTCATCTCTCTCATCTGTCTGTCTGTCTATCTTATCTATATATCATCTATCTATATCATTTATATCTATCTTCCATCCATCCATCCATCCATCTATCACCTATCTATATCTATCATTTATATCTATCATCTATCTTCCATCCATCTATCTATCTATCTATCTATCTATCTATCTATCTATCTATCTATCTATCTATCTATCTATCTATCTATCTATCTATCTATCCATCCAATCACATATTCTGTCTGTCTGTCTGTCTATCTATCTGTCTGTCTATCTATCTATCTATCTGTCTGTCTGTCTGAAATGTTAATAAGAATAGAATAGAATAGAATAGAATAGAATAGAATAGAATAGAATAGAATAGAATAGAATAGAATAGAATAGAATAGAAAGGGACCCTGGAGGTCTTCTAGTCCAACCCCCCCACTTAAGCAGGAGAACCTATACCATCTCAGACAGGTGACTGTCTAGCCTCTTCTTAAAAATAGTATGTAAAATTTAAAACAGGCAAAGAATGTTAAAAATTGATTAAGAGGGAGGGCTTCCAGGGCACTTACCAACCCCATGGCTGCATGCTCTTCTGGGCACCCCAAGCAAGGCCACAGAGCCATATTTTTACGCCTTTACGGAAGACTAAGAGAGTAGCAGTCCACCTCACCTCTGGGGAGGATGTTCCACAGGGCAGGGGTAGCAGCAGAGAAGGCTCTCTTCCTGGACCCTGCCAATCAGCGATCTTGAACTGACTGGGTCCTCAACATCCCTTACCTGTCTGACTGGGTGAGACAGGTTAATGTAATGGGGTGAAGACAGCTCCATGGGTAACCTGACCCTATGCTGTGCAGGGCTTTAAAGGTCATAACCAACACTTTAATGGGACCCAGAAGCAGACCAGCATCCAATGCAGCATGGGAAGTAGAGGTGTCACATGTGCCGTTTTGATGGTGGTGCGGTTGCAAGATTGCCTGTATGGCCTCATTCAGCACCAACTGAAGCAGAATAACAGAGTTGGAAGGGACCTTGGAGGCCTTCTAGTCCAACCCCCTGCTCAGACAGGAAACCCTATACTACTCTGGACAAATGGTTGTCCAAAATCTTCCGGTGTCGGAACATCCACAACTTCTGGAGGCAAGCTGTTCCACTGGCTAATTGTTCTAACTGTCAGGAAATTTCTCCTAGGTTGCTTCTCTGTCCTGGATTAATTTCCATCCACTACTTCTTGTTCTGCTTTGAGGAATAGCTTGACTCCCTTTTCTTTGTGGCAGCCCCTCAAATATTGGAAGACTGCTAGTCCTTTTCATTAAACTAGACTACTCAATTTCTGCAACCGTTCTTTGTATGTTTTAGCCTCCAGTCCCCTAATCATCTTTGTTGCTCTTCTCCGCACTCTTTCTAGAGTCTCGGCATCTTTTTTACATCACAATGATCAATATAAGGAACGGTTGCTGGAATTGGGTAGGTCTAATTTAATGAAGAGAAGGACGAGGGGGGGACATGATAGCAGCATTCCAATATCTCAGGGGCTGCCCCAAAGAAGAAGGAGTCAAGCTATTCTCCAAAGCACCTGAAGACAAAGACAAGAAGCAACGGGTGGAAACTCATCAAGGAGAGAAGCAACCTGGAACTAAGGAGAAACTTCCTGACAGTTAGAACAATTAACCAGTGGAATAACCTGCCTCCAGAAGTGGTGAATGGTCCAACACTGGAGGTTTTTAAGAAGAGACTGGACAGCCATTTGTCCAAAATGGTATAGGGTTTCCTGCCTGAGCAAGGGGTTGGACTAGATGACCTCCAAGGTCCCTTCCAACTTTACTACTACTACTACTACTATTATTATTATTATTATTATTATTAAAATCGATGTAGTGTTCCAAGGCATTATAGAGTGGTATTAATACTTCATGTGATCTTGATTCTATCCCTCTATTAATGGACCCTAAAGTTTCCTGATACTTTACGTTAGTTCATAAATATTAATGTATATGTTTCAATTATTTGTTTACTTTTGACAGATGGTTCCTTGTGAAAATTGTCCTTGAAGAAGTGTAGGATAAATTTAGGATATAGGTTTTGTGTTCCTTGTAAAGCACCAGTTGGCTCCTTCAAATAGACATTATTTTCCCTTAATACAGGGCGAACAAAAACCAACATGGAGCATCAAACCTCAAGTTGGCTTAACCATATTTCAGAAATGTGACCGCTGTTTTCTGGGAAGGGATATGACTCAGACATTATGGTCTAGGAGAGGTCAAAAGGCAATAAAATAGGCCCTGGTGGTGCCAGCAAATCTGTACCCCCTAGTAAAGGAAACCCAAACAATGTTGAGAATGGAAACAAAGAAAAGAAACAGGAATCCATGACTCTAGTGGTTAACTTGCCTTTTGACTGGATGCAGTTTGGGAATTTGTGAGGTAATTAATGCTGTCCTGAGTTTTTTGGATTTAAGATTGCTGATCCAGGAAGCCAAAGTAGACATAACATTGCATTCAAATGACTCTTTGATGCTTTATCGTCATTAACCAGAGGTTGGTAGGTCAGAATAATCCCTTTGACTGGTCTTGTTGCTAAAGTGTCTCATACCAAGATAAACTATTTTTAGAAAGGCTAGCTTAGAACAAGTGGGTGCCATGGGAATGCAAGACTTTGCCAGGCGTAGTCTCCTGATAAAGATAAGCAATTTGCAAGAGCCAGCCGCAAGGTCAGTGCCATGTCTACTGTTCTTGCCTGTACAATGTAACAGAAAGCAGATGCTGCTTCAGTGGTATTCTTACACAATTGGTAAGTACCTTGGAGGTCATCTAGTCCAACCCCCTGCCCAGGCAGGAAACCCTATACCATTTCGGACAAATGACTGTCCAGTCTCTTCTTAAAAACTTCCCGTAGTGGAGCATTCACAGCTTCTGGAGGCAGGTTGTTCCACCAGCTAATTTTTCTATCTGTCAGGAAATTCCTCTTTATATTCTAGGTTGCTTCTCTCCTTGATGAGTTTCCATCCGTTGCTTCTTGTCCTTCCTGCAAGCGCTTTGGAGAATAGCTTGACTCCCTCTTCTTTGGGGCAGCCCCTGAGATATTGGAACACTGCTATCCTGTCCCCCCTCGTCCTTCTCTTCATTAGACTAGACATATCCAATTCCAGCAGCCGTTCCTTATATGTTTTAGCCTCCAGTCCCCTAACAAGGGATCACCAGGTGCCTGCACGGAAAGATGCGTGTTGACTGGCATTTTATTAAATGGTGGGGTCCTTGGTGCTCTCTGGGCTTTGTTGTTTTCTTTCAAAGGTTTCATGACCCAACTAGGCAACATCATCAGTGCTAGAAGGAAGTGAGGTTTGCAGAGTAGAGGAGAAGGAGGAGTGGAAGGGGGAGAAGGAAGAGGAAGACTATGGAATCCTTGGTGCTCTCTGAGCTTGGTTGTTTTATCTTACAGACGTTTCATGGCCCAACTAGGCAACATCATCAGTGTTAGTAAGGAAAGGAGGTTGCTCTCTCTTTATATACAGTGGCTTGCCCTACCAGTGTTGCTGGGACTATTCTTGGTAGTTCTTTGATTAGGCTGCTGTTTACTATTTGATGGTCTGAGTCGATACTTCCTTGACTGGGGTATTGGGCAAACCACTAGTATATAAACAGAGGCCAAAACCCACTCCTTTCTAGCAATGACGATACACAGTACTAGGCTGCATTAACAGAGGGATAGAATCAAGATCACGTGAAGTGTTAATACCACTCTTCAATGCCTTGGTAAGGCCACACTGGGAATCCTGCATCCAGTTTTGGTCACCACAATGTAAAAAAGATGTTGAGACTCTAGAATGAGTGCAGAGAAGAGCAACAAAGATGATCAGGGGACTGGAGGCTAAAAACATATAAGGAACGGTTGCTGGAATTGGGTATGTCTAGTTTAACGAAGAGAAGGACGGGTGGGGGAGACATGATAGCAGTCTTCCAGTATCTCAGGGGCTGCCCCAAAGAAGAAGGAGTCAAGCTCTTCTCCAAAGCGCCTGAAGGCAGGACAAGAAGCAACAGATGGAAACTAATCAAGGAGAGAAGCAACTTAAAACTAAGGAGAAACTTCCTGATAGTGAGAACAATTAACCAGTGGAACAACCTGCCTCTAGAAGCAGTGAATGCTCCAACACTGGAAGTTTTTAAGAAGAGACTGGACAGCCATTTATGTGAAATGGTGTAGGGTTTCCTGCCTGAGCAGGGGGTTGGACTTGATGACCTCCAAGGTCCCTTCCAACTTTTTGTTGTTGTTATTATATTACCTAGTTGGCTCATTAATCGTCTGCCAGAAAACGACCAAGCTCAGAGAACACCAAGGATTCCCCCAGTTCTCCTCCCTCTCCTCCCATTCTCCTTCACTTTGCAAGCCTCACTCCCTTCTAGCACTGATGATGTTACCTGGCTAGGTCACGCAACATCTGCCAAAAAGCAGCCAAGCCCAGAGAGCACCAAGGACCCCAAGTTCGATCTTGAGCTATAAATATGCCCTTCTATTTATTAAATTAAAACATAGTGTGACTGCTTACTCCAATAGACTTTTTTTCCCTGGTGGGCATTGAAGGACAGGGCCTCTCTCTCTGCCTCTCCCGCTACAAGCCGGCCTGATTGTTAATGCCTGCCAGAAAAGTGGTCATGAAGATGCTCCTCTTGGTGGTCCTTCTCGCACACGGAAGAAGGTCTGCTGTTCCCAGGCTACAGAATACATTCCTTGGCACTTAGGAAAAATGTCATGCTGCATCTCCTTCATCAGTGGTTTAGTCGTGAACTTAATATATTTTGAACCTTAACTTTTCAACTTTGGCAGCCACCTTCATTGCGTGCCAGGTCGCCAAATAAATGAAAGCGATAGAAGAGAACCTAAGTAGCTGAGACTTAGGCTATTGTTGTTGTTGAGACTCTAGATCAGTGGTTCTCAACCTTTTTAATGTCGCGACCCCCAACCGGTCGTAAGTCGAGGACTACTCAACCGGTCGTAAGTCGAGGACTACTCAACTGATGCAGCACCGTTTGCAGAATGGGATTTTTGGCGGGCTCAGCAGGGCAGAGACAACCTGGACAATTCCTATTGACTTTTGAAAGCCAATAGAATTAGACTCTATTCAAGAGAGTCTCTTCTATTGGCTTTCAAAAGGAGCATTTAAAGGAATATTTTACGCTTCCCTTCTGTCTCTCTCTCTCTCTCTCTCTCTCTCTCTCTCTCTCTCTCTCTCTCTCTCTCTCTCTCACACACACACACACACACACACACACACACATACACACACTGAGTGGGGGAAGAGGCCTGGCAGACCAAGGGCAGGAGAGAGCCAGGCCAATAAGAATGTGTGTCAGCTTGTTGGAGAACAGCGTGAAGCCAGCTTGCCAGGTGAGCAGAAGATCGGAGAGAAGGAGAGGAGAGAGGGAGAGGGAGAGAGGAAAGAGAGAAAAAGAGAGGGAAAGAGAGAGGGAGAGAGGGGGAGGGAAGAGAATTCATGCACAGCACCCTCTATTTCTTTTTAATTAAACTCTTCAATCAACCACCCCCCTCTCCGGCCTGCACGCGTGAGTTTTGCGGCTCCCAATGTTTTCTGTGGTAAACAGGTCCAAGTGGCTCTTTGAGTGTTTATGGTTGCCGACCCCTGCTTTGGGCCAATCACCAGGAAACGGTGCGTTCTAGTCCTGCCTTAGGCATAACAGCCAACTGGGTGACTTTGGGGCCTATCACCAGGAGATGGGGAGTTTTAGTTCTGCCTTAGGCACAAAAGCCAGTTGGGTGACTTTGGGCCAATCCCCAGGAGATGGGGAGTTCTAGTCCCGCCTTAGTCATGAAAGCCAACTGGGTGACTTTGGGCCACTTCCTCTCTCTCAGCCCAATCCACCTCACAGGATTGTTGTTGGGGAGGGGGAAGAGGAAGAGGAAGGCATGTTGGATAAGTTCACTACCTTAAAGTATTTGTAAAAATAATAAAGGCAGAATACAAAGAAACAACTGGGACTTTAATTCACCGTCTTAAACAGTGTAGGCATCCAAAGATGACCAAGGAGCCTGGGGGAAAGTGCCATATTTTGACTGCTCTTGTGTTTCCCTCCTCACAGCTTGCCAAGAAGTGCCCAGCATGCCAATCGGATACCAAGAGAAGACACTTGGCCATATCTTACTGGCCAGATCCACCCGTGAAAGACAAGTAGAGTGAATACTTGAGATGCTCAATAAGGATCCACAGACTTGTGTGGTTTGCTCCAGCTGGTCTGTGTTGGAAGAGGGACAAAAAAAATTGCAAGTGATTTTAAGGCACCTTTCTGGACCCTACAGCCCCCCCCCACTCCCTTGGGGTTCCTCTCCCCTTAAGAGAAGCCACGTGGGTCCACATTTAGCCTTCTCCAAATATTTGAACCATTCAAGTGCTCCTGTCAGTTTCAGCAGTCCAGACGGCATTTAAATCAGAGTTAACATTTTTATTATCTTTTTTCTAATAATGATCGCGGCAGCGAGGCCAGGTACCCCAAAGCCCATTGTCTTTATTATGTTAAAATTAAAAAGGACTTTCCAATGTGGACTCTGCGTGGAGCTTTCGGTTCTGTCTCTGAAGCAGTGTTTCTCCAGCATTGCTGGCTGTGGAATTCTGGGAGTTGAAGTCCACATGCCTTAAAATTGTCAAGGTTGAGAAACACTGCTCTGAAGAATCACCTCTCACTTTTTCTTTCTTTTTTCTTTTTCTTTTAATTTGTCCTTATAATATGGATTACATGAAGTTTCCACAAAGTCACATTAGTTTGAATTTCCACAGGATCTGGATAGGCACGTATTTTAAACAAAGGAATAAATTACAGGTAGTCCTCGACTTAATAACAACAACTGAACCCAAAACTTCTGTTGCTAAGTGAGACAGTTGTTAAGTGAGTTTTGCCCCATTTTACGACCTTTCCTGCCACAGTTGTTAAGTGAATCACTGCAGTTGTGCAGCTAGGAATAGGGTTGTTAAGAGAATCTGGCTTCCCCACTGACTTAGCTTATCAGAAGGTTGCAAAACCTGATCATGTGACCCTTGGACACAGCAGCTGTCATAAACACGAGTCGGTTGCCAAGCAACTGAATTTTGGATCTGCAATGGTCTTAAGTGTGAAAAACAGTCATAAGTCAATATTTTTCAGTGCTGTTGCAACTTCGCACGGTTACTAAATGAATGTCTGTAAGTCAAGGACTACCTGTAATCCTCAACATCTCTTTACTTTTTTCCCCACATCCACTTTCCACATTCCTACCAGCTATGCATATACATATATATATATAAAATGTTCCTCTGGTAGAACTGCGTCCCACTCATCTGCAGAAATGAAAATTCACAAAACGTTTGTTGTTAATTGTTAGTTGTGAAGTCGTGTCCGACCCATTGCGACCCCCATGGACAACTTTCCTCCAGGCCTTCCTGTCCTCTACCATCTTCTGGAGTCCATTGAAGCTCATGCCTCCTGCTTCAGTGACTCCATCCAGCCACGTCTTTCTCTGTCGTCCCCTTCTTCTATTACCCTCCATCTTTCCCAGCATTAGGCTCTTCTCCAGTGAGTCCTTCCTTTTCATTAGGTGGCCAAAGGACTTGAGTTTCACCTTCAGGATCTGGCCTTCTAAAGAGCAGTCGGGGTTGATCTCCTCTAGGAATGACCAGTTGGATCGCCTTGCAGTCCAGGGGACTCACAGGAGTCTTCTCCAGCACCATAGCTCAAAGGCCTCAATTCTTTGGCACTCAGCCTTTCTTATGGCTCAACTTTCACAGCCATACATTGCAACTGGGAAAACCATGGCCTTGACTATACACACCTTTGTTGGCAGGGTGATGTCTCTGCTTTTTAGTATGCTGTCTAGATTTGTCATAGCTTTCCTCCCCAGGAGCCAGCGTCTCTTAATTTCTTGGCTGCAGTCCCCATCTGCGGTGATCTTGGAGCCCAGGAAGATAAAATTGGTCACTACCTCCATTTCTTCCCCATCTATTTGCCAGGAATTGAGAGGGCCGGATGCCATGCCTGCCACCAGACTCTGCTCATTTTAATGGAAATAATGAAGGGTGCTGCTTCTCTGGAAATGATCGACAAAGGACGGAACCTGAAACAAAAAAAAAAATCCATCAGCCTTATTAGGCAACTTGCGCAGATGGAGGCTGCATTAACCTTTGTCTTCAAAAGCCAACAGCACATCATTCCTAAATCCAGACTACCTACTAACTCAGGGCATGTTGGAAAATTATGCTCTGTATTCTGAAGAAGAAGAAAAAGCTGTTGTACTGCATAGTAAGTCAGAAGACCTTGCTCCACTAGATTCGCACTTACAGTGCAAATTTGAGATGAATCAGATGCCTTTTCAAAAATTGTTTCCACGAAGACAAGAAACAGCTCAGCAACCCTCAGAAAATGTACCAAGGTCTACAGCAAACTTTCTTATCAACATTGCAAAAATTCTGGAGTGGGACTGGAATGTTGAGATGATGACATCTACCCCCTAGTCTGTCCAAGATTAAAGCGTTCCTGACAACAGGATTCTTTGCTCTTTGACCTCTTTCAGTAAATTACCCTTCAGCTCACCGAAATTGACCTTCCTGTAATTTAAGGCTTTGTTCTGTGTCCTACGGTTGGTCTGTTGGATCGTGGTTGCCTCCCTCACCTTTTCTCAAGGGCAGACATTTTTCATACAGTCAAAGCTATGGTTTTTCCAGGGGTAATGTATGGCTGTGAGACGGAAAGCTGAGCATGGAAGAATTGATGCTTGCAAATTGTGCTGCTGGAGAAAACTCTTGAGAGATTCCCTTGGTCTGCAAGGAGATCCAATCAATCAATCCTAAAGGGAATCAACCCTGACTGTTCTCTGGAAGGCCAGATCCTGAAGCTAAAGGCTCAAATAATTTGGCCTCCACTCCGTGGAGAAGGTCCTAATGTTGGGAAAGGTCATGGGTCTTCAAACTTGGCCCTTTAATGACTTGTGGACTTCAACTCCCAGAATTCCACAAGTCATAAAACGACCAAGTTTGAAGACCTCTGGGAAAGATGGACGGCAAAAGGAGAAGGGGATGCCAGAGGATGAAAGGGTGAGATAGGGTCATTGATGCAATGAACATAAATTTGGTTCAAACTCTGGGAGACAGTGGGGGGACGGTGGGCCTGGTATACTACGTCCCATGGGGGTCACGAAGAGAACTGGACTTGTGCACCTCTTCTCCACCATTTGAAAATTCATTTCAGATCAGATCCATTTACAACATGGTCGTCCAACCTTTTGGCTTGCCTGGGCCACATCGAGTGAAGAGGAATTGTCTTGGGCCATATAAAAATATATATAATACAGTTAATATATTTAAACAGCAAACTCCCTTTATTGTCTTTATATTTTTTACGATCTTGTGGGGCCACATTATTAGTGTCACGTGTCTGACTAATGAAACACTTCAAAGAACTGTCAGGCATGGTTTAACCCAGTGGTTCTCAACCATTTTAATGCCGCGACCCCCAACCGGTCGTAAGTCGAGGACTACTCAACCGGTCGTAAGTCGAGGACTACTCAACTGGTGCAGCACCGTTTGCAGAATGGGACTTTTGGCGGGCTCAGCAGGGCAGAGACAGCCTGGACAATTCCTATTGGCTTTTGAAAGCCAATAGAATTAGACTCTATTCAAGAGAGTCTATTCTATTGGCTTTCCAAAGCCAATAGAATAAAAGGGAGTAACACAACTAAGGAAAAGGGGGGGGGGAAATGGTGGACTGCGTTGTTTGGCGACCCCCATGAAAGGGTCGTTCGACCCCAAATGGGGTCCCGACCCATAGGTTGAGAACCACTGGTTTAACCTAAAAAAAAAAAACCTTTATTAGTGTAGAGACGTTTCAGCCCGGCATGATGGATGCCAAGATCTGAATTTCCCTTCCCTTTGCACATAACATTCCAGGCATTGCCCTCCCCTATTTTGGGGTCATGATTCACATCTTCCAATTAACTTGGAGGGCAAAGGTTCACTTCCCTTCATTTTCCCGGGCTTTCCTTACTATCTCCTCCCTTTTCTGTGTCCTCTGAATTAACTCTGAAAATACCCCAGACAGTTCTGCATATTTTGTCAAAGCAAGAATATTCAATATTAGCAGCGTTGACGATTAGCAGTCCAGGGCCATGAATTGGACAATCTTATTTAACTTAGCCCAGTGGTGGCGAGCCTGTGGCACAGGTGCCAGAGGCGGCACTCGGAGTCCTCTCTGTGGGCAGACGTGCCGTTGCCCCAGCCTCGCCTCCTCCTGCGACCCCCTCCTCTCCAGCAGCCCCCCTGAAGGAGAGTCGCCCCCGAGCGTGGCCCACGCGCAGCAGCGCAGCCAAGGACATGGCAGCCAGGCAGCGTAGACAAGACTCTGCCCTCACACTCCATCGTGCACAGTTGATGCTGCAGGGCACAGGCAGAGAGCGTGACCGCCATAGTGCTGCTGGGCTGCGTGGGCAATCTGTGGCGGGCCCTGGAGGCAGTGAGTGGTCCTGGGAGATGGGGCGGGGCAGGGGGTGGAGCAGGGCAGGGCCAGTTTTTGGGCACTCGGTCTCTAAAAGGTTCGCCATCACTGCCTTAGCCTGTTGAACCAATGGGACTCAAAAAAAATTTTTTTTTAAAAAAAATCACATATTGATTTCATACAATATAAGTTGGATATAAAAAATATTACTTAGTTTTTGAATAATTTATATTTAAAATTTAAGATATTTTATAGATATCTTTTTTTTTAATTTAATTTTTATTTTTTTTCTTATTTGATTTTTTCTTTTTCTGTTTCTTTTTTCCTTCTTGTATTTTTTCTTTATATATATATATATATATATATATATATATATATATATATATATATATATATATATATATATATATATATATATTGTTGTTAATTATTTTATAATTTGTTTCATTAATGTATTTAGATTTCTTTATGGTTTATATGTGTTTTAAGATTTTTTTAAAAAAAATTTTTTAATTAAGCCTGTATTCAGCTCTGGGAAGGTGGGGGAGGGGAGGGGAGGGGAGGGTTGGGAGGGTTCGGGGAGGGTTGGGAGGGGTCAGGGAAGGGAACTGTTTTGTAAAACTTAAAAATTTTCAATAAAAAAAAATCACATATAACAGTAATAGAGTAACAGTTGAAAGGGACCTTGGAGGTCATCTACTCCAACCCTCTGGGAGCCTACACCATTTCTGACAAATGGCAGTCCAGTCTCTTGAAAGTTTCCAGTGATGAAGCTCCCACAACTTCTGAAGGCAATCTGTTCCATCGGTTGATTGTCAGAATATAATTATATATATATATAATTATAATTATTGGTGTACTTGGGCAAAAGGTCCGGGAATCAATTCACACGAAATTAGTCAACATAATCCGTCAGTTCAAGTCAAAAAAACAGTCGATTGAGAGATTTGATCTACTATCCTTTGACTCCACCCTCTCACCTGAAACTTTGCTTACTTGACTAGTTTCAAAATCACTTTATGAGATCCTTGGTCACAGTTTTGCTGATCTCAAGATACAGTCTTGCCTGCAGATTCTCACAATGTGC